TATCTTAGGTGTACATTCCTAAATAATACACAAATTCTCCTTTTCTTTAATGTCTCCTTTTTAATGTTGGGTAATTGGAAAAATCCTAAAAACATCATTTTATAATCATCTTCATGTATTAGTTATTATATGTGACGATGGATATGCATGACCCTTGCAATTTCAAGTTGTGCATTTTGATTGATATATACGATTTGATAATTTTTTAATACAGGACACCAAAATTCCTCTTTTCTTGTGTACAAATCTTAGAGCGCTTGTTTCTGGGATGGTGGTTAATAAGAATAACTCTTCTCAATGCACATGTGCACATTTTCTCTAAAGCATGTACTTAAAGACGTAGCTGTATGTCTCTAACTGGATGAGTGTCATGTAGTCTCTGAATTGATGAATATAATTGGCACTCGTACAAGTAATGCAGTAGGATTCTATGGACTCATTATTCTCTCCCACAACTGATAATAAAACATTCCTTTGTGCATCTCATCTGGATAAGTTGGGACTGTGGTCTCGTGTTTTCACAGAAACTGTGCCCCAATCTTGGTTTCTACATCGTTACACATCAGCTAGGGACTTAGGAGCAAGGTGGGGCTATCAGTGTGTTGTTAATGGTGTCCCACACTGATTTGTACTGTTTTGTGAAAATCAGTTTGTGTATCGCTTCCCAAGTCTGCGTGAGGACCTTACATGGGCACTTGACATTGGCCATGAAGGGGGCATATGCACCAGAGAAAGTAAACTATGCCAAGAATCAATGTTTTTATATTAAATTTATTGGGGTGCCATTGATGAATGACATGGCCTAAGTTTCAAGGATGCACATCTGTAACATGTTTTCTGTGTGTTGCACTGTGTTTTGGACAATGGGGTTTTCAGAAGCAGCGCAGACCAGGAAACCCCTTCAAACAACCAGGGGTGAGGTTTCTTCAGAAAGTACACAGGTGGCCTTGGAGGGCAGGAGAAGGCTGTGTGGAGTCCAGAGAGGGCATTAGGACCTCTTGTGGCATTCCCTCTTGCAGGATGGATTGTGCACCTTGTAGATTGACTACAATAGATGGCACAGTCTGCACTCAGGAGATGGGGACTCCATACAGACATGAAGGTTCATGTGGTTAGAAATAAAGGAAAACATATTCCATGCAAGTGTAGGGAGGTCGGACCTGTACCTGCCACCTGGGATAAATCCTAATTTCACCAAAATGGGGAAAGTCAGGAACCAGTCATAGGACTCACAGGGGTCGGGAGGGAAAGGACCACAGTTCAAGGGCAGAAGGTCCAGACCTTGGCCCTGCACATGAGCGATGACTCCTCCACCTGCAAGGAGTCCCAGACAGGTCCCTCAGCATATATCCCATTTTATCATCCAGGACCTTCCCATGATCGTCCTTTCTGAATTGTGCATTGTTCCCTCCATGTTCATGTCCTGGCTGCATGCTGGGTCTTTTTCTGGCTGTTTCGAGACCAAAAGAGCAGCACCCCGAGCACCACCAGGACCAATCCAGCCACGCCCATCCGGATGGAATTCTCCAGGGTGTAGTCTTGGGAGTGGGAGGCTGGGGATTGTAGGAAAAGAGGTCACAGAGGTCAGGGCAGGACAAAGTCACCCAGGACCCTGGATGTCCACCCAGGGTACCCACTACCCCTTGACAGGACACGACCATCTGTGCTGGGTTGGTCTCAAATATCCATACTTGTATATATGTAGACCTTGAGCAATTCTCCAGCTATCAGTGAGGACAAGTTTCTGAATAAAACTAAAACATGCACCTGACGTTGAAATTTAACAGTTTGAGCCCAGCTGGCTGTCGCTCAGTGGTTGAGCATCCACCAATAAACTTGGAGGTGATGGTTAGATTCCTGGTCAGGGCAGATGCCTAGGTTGTGGGCTCAATCCCCTGTATGGGGCATGCAGGAGGCGGCAGTCAATGATTCTCTTTCATCATTGATGTTTCTATCTGTTGCTCTCCCTTTCCCTTCCTCTC